AATTGAAAGAGATTAACCTCGGGACTGAAGAACGACCCCGACCTACATTTATAAGTTCTCTACTTGATGACGAAGAATCTGCAGAACTGGTCAAACTATTAGCAGAATTCAAAGATTGCTTCGCATGGAGCTACGATGAAATGTCAGGACTGTCAGCAGAGGTTGCAGTCCATAAACTTGGGGTGGACAAGAATGTAACCCTAGTAAAACAAGCCCCAAGAAGAATGCGCCTCGAGATAGAGCAACAAGTCATTACCGAGGTAAATAAATTGATAGATGCCAACTTTATTAGAGAAGAGCAGTAACCCACGTGGTTAGCCAATATTGAAGAAAAATGGACAGATCCAAGTCAGATCCAAGTTTTTGTCGACTTTAGAGATTTGAACAAAGCATGTCTGAAAGAAGAATTTCCACTACCTATACCGGAAATGATGGTGGACATCGCTTCAACACATGAGATTTTCTCCTTCATGGATGGATCATCGGGATATAACCAAAATAAGATGGCTCCCTAGGATGCAACACTTACAGCTTTGAGAACACCAATTGGAATCTTCTGCTACACAGTGATGTCGTTCGGCCTAAAGAACATCGGAACAACATATCAGTGTGCAATGGCGAAGATTTTTGACGACCTCATTCACAATCAAGTAGAATGCTACGTGGATGATCTGGTCATCAAAAGTAAATAGAAAATAGACCATTTGTACGATTTGAGGATTGTGTTTGAACGGTTACGACGATATGACCTTAAAATGAATTCATTAAAGTGCGCCTTTGGCGTCACCTCCGGGAAATTTCTTGGATTTGTTGTCCGTCATCGGGGAATTGAGATCAACTTGGATAAGATTAAAGCTATCTTGGAAATGCCTCCCCCTAAAACCTTGAAACAGCAACGTTCCTTCCAATGGAAGTTGGCATATCAGAGACGCTTTATTTCTAATCTCTCAGGTAGGTGTCAGCCTTTCTCGACACTAATTAAAAAGGACACCAACTTTATTTTGGAAGAGAAATGTCAACGGACCATTGATGACGTTAAACAATATTTAATGACACCTTCTATTTTGGCAGCCCCTTTCCCAGGGAAATCGTTGATATTGTATTGTATCCCGCGGCTTTAGATGACTCTCTTGGAGCCCTCTTAGCCCAAATCAATGAGGAGGGAAAACAAAATGCGCTCTACTACTTGAGTCGTCGTCTAATACCGACGGAGATAAGGTATCCACCTATTGAGAAGCATTATCTGGCTCTAATTTTTGCCGCTCAAAAGTTTAGACATTACACGCTTTCTCATAAGATCACCCTAATCTCGAAAGCTAACCCATTACAATATTTGATGACCCGACCAACACTCTCCGGACGTTTAGCGAGATGGTCAATGATCTTATTGCAATTTGATATAACTTTTGTGCCCCTCCATGCAATCAAAGGACAGATTTTAGCAGCTTTTCTCGCTGCACACCCACTATCAGTTGGGTCCTCTCTCAAGGACGAGTTACCAGACGAGCAGATACTACAAATGGAATTTTCTAGTGCGCAGCGCTGAGAAATGTACTTCGATGGTGCTTCATCAGCCAGGAAAGAGAAAGGATCAGACACAGTTATACCAGGCAAGGCAGGCATTGGTTTGATCTTTATTACGCCAGATAAGGGTATGATGAGGTTCTCATACCACCTGACAGAGCCGTGCACCAACAATGAAGCAGAATATGAAGCCTTAATCACCGGATTGGAATTGGCAATTTCAATGGATATAACAAACATTGCCATTTATGGTGACTCTCTAATCGTCATCCAGCAAGTTGTTGGACAATAAAAAATTTTGAAACCAAGATTAGCAGAATACCATCAGTACGCGATGAATCTCGTGGAGCAGACTCCTGCGGTGACTTTCTATCGGATTCCTCGGGGAGATAATGCTCATGTCGACACTCTAGCGAAACTTGTTAAGGAAATGGCGCGTCCTCTGGAGGATTCCATCGAAGTCATGAAGCAAGGAAGATGAGTCTTGTCTCGGAGTCTTGTCTCGAAATTACACAAACTTGGAAAAGAAGAAA